ATGGCCTCCACGGCTTTGCTGGCACATATGCAAAGCTGTGGCCTTTATTGTCCCTGCTCCTGGGCCATAATTGGTACTTGGTAATGCTTATCAAATTGAAGGGATTGAAATCAAAAGGCAACAGATATTAGAATCTGATTCAATAAACCAAGTAAAATTAGGCTTTTATTTATTTTTTGTTGTTGTTGTTAATGCTCATGCAAAATTCAAATCTTGTGTGAATTTTGGGACACCCTTTATAAAACCCTAATATGTAAATAGACCAAACAGTGGAACAGCTGAACAACGGAAAAACTGGTCGCTATGATGTGGCTGACCACCAGGGGGCATGCACGGAACATGGCAGGCATTGGCAGCAGGCGTCAGAGTGTTGAACATGGTGGGTATCTGCCATGGCGGGATGGTGGAGCAGGTGGGCAGGGGTGCCAGACCAAGGCGGGGCGCCGGTTGCTGTCATGGGGCGAGCCTCTGGTGGTTACTGAAAATTCTTTGCTCCCACTCACCGCGGTCCCACCAGGTGCTTGCACCCTCTGCCAGGGCCTGGTGCCTGCCCCAATCGCTTAGTGCTGTCAGCGGGTACGAGTGGCAGCTTCCGGCCCCGATCGCCCCTTAGGGCTTCTCCACCTCCCCTAGCACCTGAGGGGCAATTGGGGCAGCAGCCACTGCTTGCACCCACTGATGGCGCCAGGCCCAATTGCTTCATGCCATCAGCAGGTGCGAGCGGGGTCGGCGCTGGCCGTACATGGGACCAGCGGTGGCGGGAACGAGGCTGCCAGCAGACAGGGGACTGGGGGCTATGGTTGGAGGGGCCAGGCGGGGGCACGAAAGATGGGCCAAGACCCACCCCTGTGCCCACCGCAGCTTTGGGACCCACAGTTCCTTTCAAGGTGCATGAATTTGTGCACGGGGCCCCTAGTAAATCCATAAAATTCTAGACTGTTAACATTTATAAAATTTTTTCAAACTGTTTCAAGGTCTTTACAACCATGCACAAACAATAATGCAGCGAAAGCTTGTGCTTTGGGCCTTGTCTAGTTCTATGTGGGGCCTCCTAGTTGTTTTCTATCTATTGGTTTTGAAAAAGGCATAGATACATGTGGAAATTTGAGGTGACAGGTGAAAGGTATGTAATCAAAAAAAAGAAAACAAATTATGAAGGTGCCTTGCTTTGAAGAACCACTTATAATTACAACAGAAGTTGAGTCTAAAGTTGTCATATTGCATTTTAAAATCGAATTTTCCGCAGCAACTTCACTTCCTTTAAAATATCTAACTCACAGGAGTGGTGCAGGATGTAATTGAGAGGTAATTAAAATCAAGTCTTAATTTAAGGTTTCACAGAAATGATGCTGAATACTAATTTGATATAGACTGTTGAGCATTTAAAAGATGCTTGAGAAAGCCAAATGTTTCAAGTCTACCCTTGATTTGATAAGGCTGAAGTGGAATACTAAACAAAGGAGCTCTCAGGTAAGAATTAGTAGGGAGACTTTATAAATAATATGATCCATGCAAAGACCAATGATAGATGAACATCCAATCATTTTAGAGCAGAGGCCATATTACTTACTTGTTGAAATGTCTTGATGGCTCACCTCTTTGTATAGGATCATCAATGCTTATTGTTAGTTCAGGAATTATATTATGTATGTGACCGAACCTTCCAGTTGGAGGGACTTCGGTGCAGGAACCGCCTTACAATCTTCCGGGCATGCAGTAATTTACCCTTTGAGTAAATTTCTATCTGAGGCGCAGGCCAGTCTAAGTTTGTGGCGTTTGTAATTGTTACAGAAACCCATTGGACTAAATCTGTGTCCCTATTACTTAAACCCCTGGAGCCACTCTTTTCCTCCTCTGTCACATTAAGAACAACCACTTTTCAGAAAACTGCCGCAGGAGACCTTGCTGTGCTGGGTGGTGGACATGAGCTTTGGGTTACCCCGTCTTGAATTCACATGCTGTCTGTTCTGTCCACAAGTGGTGTGACAGGCTAGTAATTTTCCTCAGTCTCATATGCATCTGTGGGTCTCTGAACAAAGACTGTTGCCTTCATTATGCCAGGGGTGGACACATGGCTATTTTTTCTCACAGTTATGTCCTAGGTGGTGAGCACCATACATGGCAAAAAGTGGAGGCCTTGTATGATGTCTGTGCCTAATAGATAACCAATTAGACTCATTATTAGTTCATCAGGGTCATTTGAAGTCATCTAATGTACAACCTGACTTACAACTCAAAACGTTTATTTAGAAACTAGGAGCCCAGCGTGCGATATGAAATTGTGTGGCACCGCCACCCTCTGGTCCGGCCCTGCCTCCCTCTCTGGCCCTTGAATCAGGCCCTCCCCCAGCGCAGGCTCTCAGAGGCCTCTGCTGCCCTGCCCCCGACACTACTCATGAAATCTTCTCCTGTCCAGTCGACCCGTTAGGGCGTCCTGGTTAATTAGCATATTTCTCTATTTTATATATATAGATAGTTTTCATGGTATGTGATCAGATTCATGATGAGACAACCTTGTTCTTGCCATCCCCTCACTTATACTAACCTTTCCCCTCTACCTTCTCAGGATCTATCTGTTCTTCAAGGCCCAATTCAAACTCCACCATTTACTCAAGCCTGTTTTGAATGCTCTAAATCCATAGAACTTTACAAACTTCAAAAGCGCTTTTTTGTTGTTGTTGGTCAAGCAGCACTAATACTAACGTGGTGTTTTGACTTTTGATGGTGGTCTCTGGAGGCACTGATGCTGGGTATGCTGCAGTTCCTTTCTCCCAGCTTGTACCCAGGCCAGGAAGATCATTTCCTGCCTGGCAATTAGTGATGGTCAAGCTTCACATTAAGAAACTGAAAGACAGGCTTTCCATGGTCCGATGAGCCTTCAAACTTTCTCTCGCCTCAACTAAAATACCCCTTCATGAACTTCTGAACAAAAATTATTATTTTTCCTTCCCACTTTGACATTTACTCACATTTGATTAAAATCCTGCTATTTATTTTGGATTCAGGTTTTATTATTTATTTTGACTTTGAATTTTTCCTGAGCTTTTCATCAATGTATTTTTAAAACTTTAGTTTGCGTTCAAGTTTAAGCAAAGACCCTGCTATGTAGTTTTAAAAAGTTCTAAATATCATATTTAAATAACCCAATGTAATATTTATTTTTCTGAAAAGAGTTCATACAAGAATATATAATACAAAATAACTAGAAAAAGCAAGCAATATCTTCTCTGAGCTCAAAGAATGTGTTCCCTTTGCTTTTTATAGGTGAGTAGAGTTTTATTATAGAAGTTGGGTGGGTTTAGGAGCCAGAGCTGGAATGTGCTTTTCCGGGTAAAGATGAAGAGGCAGTGCTATTCTAAACCATCAGAACCGGAGGGGAGGATTTAGGAGGCGTCCACACAAAGCTTTTCTCCTGGAATGTGCGCTGACCTGCCGTGCTGTGCAGTGACCCTCGGAGAGTGTCTTTCAAAGCTCATGGTCACACCAGTCTCAACAGCACAGGGACCTCTATTATGTTTTCTGATAAACTGTGCTTCTATGATGAACCTAAAGTCATAGCTATGTCCTCATGATGGCTGGCAGTGGCTGATGTGTAATGATTATATATTTTTCTTATAAAATATATTCTTTTAAATCTCCAATATTTATGTTACATGTTAGCTCTTATTCTTGAAGTATAGTGCATATGTGTGGGAAAACAGACTTTAAAATATCCCTCAAATTAAGAGTAAACACATTACTAAAATGCATATTTTCAAGGCTTCATATTATAGTCTTAAAAATTTTTTTATTAATAGAAGTGTGAAATAAAAATTATTTTAATTTTTTTCTTTAAAGTTTTGATCTTTAAAATAATTGTTGAATAAACTTAAGCATAGAAATAAAGGAAAGGTTTTGTTGGCATACAGCAATCAATGAAGAGTTGTGTAGGCTCATATAGGGAGTTACACTGTGCTCATTAAGTCACCATGGAAAGACAGGCCTACCTGTTTAATTTTCCCCAGGGGAACAATTCCTCATTGCCTCCCTCTAACTGGAATGCTCAGGCTCATTGGTTCCTTCTTCCCTTGGTTTGTGCTTTGCTTATGGCCTTGCCTTACAATGCTGAGGGCCCCGGAAGTTTGGGAGTTACTGCAGTCATGGATCAATGCAGTAGAAACTATCTTCCCACAACAGAGCATCTGGAACCATTTTCATTATTAGTTTGGCTTCTTTGTGGAAGACGATGTTTCAGTCCTCTCATTTCACTGTCACTTAAAAGCACTCACATTGATCTGACAAACATTTTTTGGAGTCTCTCAATGTCATGGGCTCCATGCCACATGCGCAGGAGGAACCCCCATCAGAGAAGGCACCCTGTCCCTCTCTGGGATCTGCCTGCACAGAGAAGGGTGGTTGCTGTACACCGAGAGGGACACTGTAAGGGCAGTATGGC